GAACATTGACCCTAGGCTTTTGCACTGAGCTATGTACCTGGTCCTTTTCAAAAATTTGAGTCAGGGTCTTGCTAAGTTAGTTGCTAAATTGCTTGAATTCTAATGAGAGTGAACATTATCTCATTTCTTTATTATTCTGTATTTCTTTTGTGAACTGGTTATATAAGAAAAATATTTGATTTTTTGAGTTGTAGAAGTCTCTTACAATTATATGTTAATCCCCTGATGTTGCAAATATTCAGATTTGCTGTTAGTATTCAAAAGTACATGAATGTGCATAGAAAAAAAATTGTGAAGGATTTAAATCAAAGGTTAATAGTGGTTCTAAGTGGTAGGATCATGAGTACTTAACTTCTTCATGTTTTTCCTTCCAAAAGCACTAAGTAAATTGAATTAATTTCACAAGCAGAAAAAAAGTCTCAATAAAGCAATTAGTGGGATAAAGGAGATGAGGCTTTCATGGAAGTTCTAGAAAAATATTTCCAATTTTATTTTGAATAGTGGCAGTATCAAAAGAATGAGTCTCTCAAGATGAAAATTGGAAGGAATTTTGGATGAAAATTCTTCTTCTTGGATTAAAAACAGACATAGCACAGGACACAGAATCAACACACAAAATCAATAGCATTTCTGTTCTCTAATAATGAGTCCACCAGCAAACAAGAACAATTCCATTCACAACAAAATTAAAAAGATTAAATATTTAAGGATTAAACTAACCACAGTGGTAAAAAAACTTCTGTGATGTACAGAAATACAGAACTTTGAAGGAAAAAAATTAAAGAGGACATTAGAAAATGAAGAGAAATCCCCTGTCCTTTGGTTTCCGGATGGGTAGCATTAGTATCATTAACACTGCCATATTGCCAAAAGTGATACATAAATTTCATGCAATCCCCATTAAAGCACCAACAATATTCTTTTTAAAAAAATCTTTTTAAAAACATTTATTTATTTATTTGGTACAGGGTCTTGCTATGCAGCTCAGAATCACAGTGATCCTCCCGTGTCAGCCTCCCCAGTGCTGGGATTACAGGTGTGTGCCACTTTCAGCGTGGGGCCAGCAGGGTATGAACTAGTGCGGATTGAACCTGGGTTCTTGCCCTCGCCAGTCAGGTGCTTACACTGCCAAGTTAGCCTCCTATCCCACCAACAATATAT